ATTAAAAAAAAAATACAGAAAATTAGCTATTTAAGCCCTGTTAGAGAACATCAATCAGAATAAAACTACATTTTATTTAAAAATTTTTAATTTTACACTGAAAAATGAATTTAATCTAAATCATTAGAGCCGTTTCCGAGAAAATCGCAAAAATGTGTTTAGTATTCTGGATAAAATGCCACTTCCGGTTAGCCGATTTTGACGAAAACGTTTATGTAACATCCCTAGCATATAAAAACCTTGAATATGCAATTTCACTTTCGTACGACTTTTAGTTTTTGAGCTAGATTGCTAACACACATACGCACAGATCATTTGGCGGGACTTGGTTATTTGGACTCAGTGGATCTCAAAACGTGTATTTCCGTTGAAAACTGAGATTGAAAATTTTCACAATCTTCCTTTACGATCGAATACTTTCCTTTATTATATATTTCATATGTAGGTAAGTAAAAGTAAAAATAAATGCTTATAGACCAGGTTTCGTTTTGTTCAACATTATCCGGTCCATGATTTTTATTATTTTTGTACAGTATTATCTATTGATTGATGAGTATGCTGTGTTATTTAGAAATTCAACACCGTTAAACAGCCGTGCAATGTTGTTATATTTCTTCTTCTTTTTTTTTTTCACATCAGTTACGCTTCATTCTAAGATTTCACGTAAAATCTTGAGGAAGCTTAACATAATATTGTGGTCCTTCGGTCCGGATAACATATTTTGTTTCTCAGATAATTTGGGCACGCAGGCGATGATTACTTGGCACGCAATTATTGAAGGGAAAAATGTATATTCAGGACTTCGTTATATAGCCTGATGGTGATGCTTGCTTTTAGACGCTTGCGAACGTTCGCTGAAGAAACAATCTAGTAACAGATGACGTTGCCATATACATCAAATATTAAAGTAGATAGGTAGTATTAATATAAAAGTATATTACAATAATATTTAAATTATAAATTATGATTATAGAAACATTAAAGAAAAAAAGAAAATAATATTAAATAAATAATAATACAATGTTAACGGTATACATAACGTTTATACTGCTGATTATTAAAAATGTCTCTTGAACTTTGATAAACTTCAGCAGTGATAATTATATTACAAGTCATCATTTCATTTTTTGTTTTCATTATCGATCAATTGATATCGATACAATCATTAACAGTTATTTAATCGCTGTCTCCCACGTTGAATAAAAACTTAACAAGTAATACAATATTTTCAAGGACGAGAGGAAAAGTAAGTACATAAGAGTTCGGATATGACAAAACTGATCTAAGGTTATGCAATCAAGAATAAATGTACTTTTCTTCATATAAATCATTAAAAAATAAAATAAAAGGCATTTACATTTACAGCACGAATAAGTAAAGTAACAAGCGAACTAGAACGCTGCTGTACAGGTGTTTTTAATCTTAGTTTTTTTTTTCTCCCTGCATTGCCTGACGGACAATACGGGCTGTAGCAGCAGTGAGGTATTACGCGGGGTATACTTGTATGTCACTGCTGGCAATACAGGTCTATTTTATTAAAATTTGTTTAGCATCAATTATTTATAATTGTTATTGTGGAAACTGTGGTGTAGACTTGTGATGGCTATGCAGGAGTCCACGCCTTTCCATTTCTCCATTCTTCCACCTGAAGGCGGTCCTCGAAGCAGCTCCAGCCTGTCTTAAGTGCCTTCTCTTCCTCCCAGATTAAAATACGTAGGGTCTACAGCATCTTTCCACCAGTATACGTATTCCCTATAATGTGGATAATTCTTTCTGCTCATTAGCTGGAGGGAAATGCTCTCTGTCAGCGCATATATTCCCGTCTCTCTCAGGAGCTTAGCTCTTAGTGCCTCATAGGCAGTGCATTCGACGACCATGTGTTTGGCGGTCTCCGGAACGTTGCAGTTGGCATAGCGGATCAATACTCTTCCCGTGTTTCACGGGCGGATCTACGGGGGGGAGGGGCTTTCGGGCTGAAGCCTCCCTCCCCAAAAAAATGGAAAAATATAACCACGTTTTAAAAATACCTCTGAAAGTATTATTGTTCGTATAATTACATTTACATTTATTATTATTTATTTATTATTATAATTACATTTAAAAGTACTTAAGGAATAACTTAAACACAATTTCATATAGGTAGTTAGTTTCTTTCTGTTTTTCCAAAGTAATTATCGTTATTTTTATGAAAAAAAAGGTTTAGGGTGGAGGCACCCCCCAAAATTAAATCCTGGATCCGCTAGTGCCGTGTTTAACGAGCTTCGCTCGGAAGCCTCCGTGTCCCGTGAGGGGTTGGGACACCCAATAATCCGGAAGGACCCATCTTGCATCTAATCGTGACTTGACTGTGGGGAAGTACTTCCTTAGAGTAATCCCCTTCGGAGTTGCCATCCATGAACAGTGTCATCCTTGATAATTCTTTTCCATCTTCATGGGTCTTCATCAATTTCCATCTTTAGATGTTCCGGTAGATCCACCGAACCTTCTCTTTTCATCTTAAAGAAGTAATAGTCTTCTCGTAGGAGGATATCGAGAGGTATTTGCCTGCCAATACTTGCACTGCCTCATAAGACACCGTTCTATAGGCTCTAGTGACCCAAAGTAAAGCCAATCTCTGATTCGATGCTAGCCTCTTCTGTCGGTGCAAGAGGTTTAGGTTCTAGATTGGGGACGCATATCTCAGTAATGACCTCCACTGTGTTTGAAGGTCTTCCTCGTTGATTATTTTATTTCTCTCCTCTTCTTAAAAACAGTGCCAGCTAAAGTGAATCATAGATCATATAAATTTACACTTTCAGATGTCTGTACTATGTTTTCCTCTTGTCCCCTGGTTTGAAACTTTTCAATCTGAAAATTCAAAACCCCGTCAAAACGTGTTCCCCTCAAAAATTTTGATGGCGCAACTCGCACCATGGAACCCCCTTGTGAAGTCACCATAAGAAGACAAGATTGCCTCATGTTCGTTCATTTCTACAACAGATTGTCATTGGTGTTGCCACGTAAACGAGTTATTCAATTTTTGTTTTATATATATATATATATTTTTAATATTAGTAATATATATATTTATTTCATTTTGTAGCATTAGATGTAGAATAATTAATTTTGTATAGTTACATAGAATTTTCGAAGACATGGAAACTATAAAACTAAATACGACAACGTTAATGAAAGCCGGTAAAGAACTAGGGCTCAAAATAAACACGGATAAGACAAAAGATTAGCTGAAAAAAATGTCGATATTGCTGGTGATAAACTGTAACTGGGTATCTGCAGTATCTGATTCTAGAAGGCGCCATCGACACGACTGAGTCCATTTAGGGCCATTGTAACTCTAGTTCTCATATGGTCCAAGTGAGGAGTTACGTTGAACTTTTGACCAATTCTTATGCCGAAGTAGGTGACAACCTCACTTGGACAAACCCTTTCTTCTTCTATACTCAACATAATATGTTTAGCTTTGTCAGCTTCCACAAGGCGGGAACAAGAACAGAGCTCTGCGGGTGTCTTCTCGCCTCGACAGTGTCTTCTACTTCAAAGAATCTTGCTCTAATTTTCAATGACAGGTCCTGGAGGTAGCTTCTCACTAGATCATAAAGGTTACTGGGAGTTTCATACTTCTGGAGTTGCTTGAGAACACTCGGCCACCACATGCTGTCAAATGCAGAGGATATATAAAACAGGAGAAGCATAACATACCTCTCCGCTCTTTCTTCTACGTCATGACGCACTCTTAATATGGCATCTGCGGTTCCCTGGTCTTCAGTGGATCCATATTGCCGTGGATGGCTCGATCTTGATAAGACTGGTCGAATTCTCAAGGCCCCTTGGTGTTTGTAATCGTATAGTTTTAATCGCACAATAATATGAGTTATCAAAGTACCCTGCAAGAAGCTTATACTTTCAAATCCGTGTAATTATTATAAAAACTTCCCACTTCGACGCCGATAGCTGATAAAAGAAAAAATTTCACGACTTTAATTTTCGATAGAAAATAACGTATTTGGACTAAATCAATAAAAAATAAACTAAATTAAAAATAATTTATATGTCAGTTGGACAGATTTGAAAATTTGGATTTTCTTCTTTTCATCGCTTAAAAGTACTTTGTAAAGAAAAACAAATATGATTCTTTTCATTCCTCTTGAATCCGACATGAGTTTATATTCAGTATATTAATCCTGCTCAGCTTAGCACAGGAGAAGGGGATAAGAACAATCACGTGAAAATTAGTTAATTTTTTTTGTTTCATCATTACAATGGTTTGCTTATAAAATTAATTTTAAAATGTTTTCCAACTTAATTTAATTATTTTTATTTTTATGTTTATTTTTTTATTATTGTTTGTATTGTAAAACTATTGCTGTCCTGTTTTCTTGAATATTGTATATCTTCACAGCTATATATATATATATTCTTAACTTATTATATTTTAATTATTCTTTATAGCAATAGGTCTTTTGGCCAGATCTTATGTTAATTTTAATGAACAATATTGTAAGTCTTAAGAGACTTGGTATCAGAATAAAATTGATTTTTCTATTCTATTATATATATATATTAATATCATATTGATATATATCTATAAATATTACAAACCTGATATGAGCATCCTCATACTTAACATAGTAAAAATATTCAACAAAAACTCTTTAACATCTATTGGAAATATAAATTTCAACCGGATCATAAAAAATATTACTTAAAAATAAAAGCTCAGGTCATCATTTGTGGATTTACAACTTCTACAAGTACTGAAGTATGCCTTTAAAATAATAAAAATAGAATTAATCTTATTAACAAAATGTAAAAATATGACTAGTTCCATCAAGGGATGATAAAAGACATATTATCTGATACAGTTTCGATAATAATTATTAATTATTGATGTAGAATATACAGTGAAACTTTTCAGTAGTAGACACCTAACCAAAAAATTTTTCCTCTTGAAGAAACACAGAAAGTAAAACATGATAAAAATAAAAATCAGCAGATTAAAATTGTGTTTTGTAAGTCATATAGATGAAATTATTTTTTTATTTGAAAAACATTTTTATTTTTTAATATACAATTTAAATAAATTTCTATGAGCAATAACATATTTTTTATATTAAATGTACAAGTATAAAACAAAATTCTATAGAAAAAATGAAAAATTCAAATTACTAGGAATAGTAATCCATAATTTTTGTTTAAACTTTTTTTTGTTTCACTATTTTGTTCTCCAGATTGGCTTGGATAGATAAAATAAGTGCCACTCCTAAAATGTATGGCATCTAAAACACTTATCTGTTTTGCAAGGTCATAGTCAGTTGTTGCAGATTCCATATTTGCTAAAAAATGTTTAAGCACACACATCCTGTAGTTAATTTTGAAAATTTTAATAATGCCTTGATCAAACGGCTGGCAGGGTGATATAGCGTTTGCTGGCAAAAAGACGATCTTAATGTTGCAATAACTATTGTGAGGATGGGACACTGCATTATCCATAAATAGGATTCGTTTCTGCCTTATCATTTTATTATTAAATGAAATCAACCATTCATTCATAATTTCAGGAGTCATCCAAGCTTTCTAATTTGACTCCCACTCAATGTTCAAAAGACTTAAATATATACCCTTAAAACAATTAAGGATGTAGGGCCTTTTCGATTATAAGTGGTTTTTCAAACCCCCCTAACATATTAGTATATAGAAAAACAGTTAACCCCTAAGACGAAATTTTTCCATCTTTGTAACTCCCATTATTTAAGCTCATTTTTTTTTCAGGAGGTGCTCGAAAAAACAGTCCTGTTTCATCACAGTTAAAAATGTCTTTCATATCATAACCATGACACAAATCTTTCAATTTTTCCCACCAATTGTTCACAACTACTTTATCAACGGAGCTACTCTCCCTGCAAATTGCTTTAGATGGAATATTGTGGCGTATTTTGAATTTGTTGAGTCATCCAGCTGAGGCTTTAAAATCATTGACTTAAATTCCGAGCGACTTCTAATGCTTTTTCTTTGATCAGATGACCAGATAGAGGAATGTTTAAGGCACGAGCTATGCGAAACCATTCATATGTTACTTGATCTATGGCGAAACCTAAAGTTTTGGGAAATTGTTTTTTTGCTTCAACATTTTCACATTGGGCCCATTTCTCACACAATTCTTTTTTCTTCTTTAAAATGTCGAATACTTGTATCTTTCCGATTTTGAATCGTGATGCTAAAATCCGAACACTGAGTTTTTCACTTGTCTCTAGATTGATAATGTTAACCAGACACGAGTAGACATGTTGACACTCAAATCTGTAAGAGAACAATGTACCTGAAATATGAACCTCACTGGCTTTCTTTCGTCAGTTATGAAGGGGTTTTTCAATCAAAATCTTTGTATTAAGCAAGTTCACATCTATTATATAGAAAGTTCTTCATGCATTAATTATTTATACTATAAAATTCCTGAAATCAGATTGAGATTATAAACGTTTTCCCTTTAGAGAAAAGTCCACCGTGCTACAGGAAGTTTTGCTGTACACATATATAAGATGGGATTATAAAAAAGTAATAAGGCAAGAGCTAAAATTTAGGATTTCTTATTTAGCTGGTAATGAGAATTCATACAAGTATAATCAAATTTAAGAAAGTGATAATAGCTTTATTCGAACAAACGCAAATTCAGATGGCATCAAGTTAAGATTTCTGAACATTCACTACAACAAAATAACAAAAATATTCATGAGTTCAGCAAAATCAATACTACTTCACTTACTACATCTTACTGTCACACTTACTCGGAAAGCAATAACAGATTTATATTTAAGACATAACAGATATTAAAATATATTTAAGCTATCATGGAACAGGCATTCCTAACATTTAGTAATCACAAATTCCAAAGTGATTTTCAAGTCAACCAACATTTAAATATAAATTACTACTACCAACTTTATCTAGGCTAAGATTATTGTTGAAAAACTAATCCCCTCTGGTTCTTTATTTCGTTTTGCAGTTCTATAGCAAGCTTCTTGTACTTTTCACTTTGACTACTATTTTTCTCCACACCTTCACCCTTCTTGTACATGACACTAACATTAACACACGCAGGAATACTTCCTAGATCACAAGCTCTAACGGCATAATGAAAAGCCTTAGCCATGTCTTTACAAATTTTTTCAGTCCCACAAGTGGCACCATCTAAGTATACGCTACTTAAATGGAAACAGGCATCTTTATTTTTTCCTTCACAACCTTTCGTCAAAAGATCAACACTCTGTAAAGAATATTAAACAAGAATATTAATTTCTCGATAAAATTTCAATTTATCATTTAATAAATTAGAACAAAATGGAAAGGGAAAAAAACAAAAGCAGAAGAAATTGTTTAATATATGACAAATAAGGGGACAATGTAGCTAAGTTGCTGCAGAAATTTAATTGAGTATTTGCATAGAAAATGCGTAAATTTGAGCTGCTGTAGAATTCAAGTGTAGTATAGTTCAATACAGAAAAAAAACAAAAACAATTAAAACCTGCCATTGGGAGCCATTACAAACTGGCAATAGTTGTTTACGTATTACACTACACCTTTTTTCAGAAAGAATCATCAGCATCTATAGATCATCAGAATTTGATGATAGATTTAGTAATCAATGAGGTTGCGGTGGCCGAATGTGTTGGAGCGTTGCCCAGTCTAGCATCATCCTGCCTAGCGACACCAGTTCGAATCGGTCTGGGAGAGTGATTGACTTTTATTTCATGGTAGACCCATAGAATGGAACTCGATCCTCCCACTCTAGTTAGAATAGGTTTGGTTGTACCTCCAGAATAAACCCCCTCTCTCCCTCCCCCCCATATGCCAGAAATGGTTGGTAGGGAGTTATCCAATAAATTAAAAAAAAAAAGAAGTTATTAAAAAAAGAATAGCAGTAAACTTTTTTCAACTCATCTTAGATGCATAGTTTGCATGAAACAAAAAATTTGATTTTCAATTCAATAATGAAACATTACAGGGCAACAAATAATAAGTAAATAATTTAGCGAAGGAAGCCTTAACTGCTTTAAAACCTGATATTTTTCTGTTTATACTTATATTTTCATATACATTTTTATGATCCACTGTACCACCAATCTAAAATGTATAAATTTCTACAGATACAACCTGTAATAACACTTAGATCAATTCTTTATGATCAATACTGGATTTATTTTTCTATTATTTTAAGAAACTAATGTCGCTTAAAAGAACAATGAATAAAATATAATAATAATATAACAACTAGAATTAAAAACTAATATTGATGACTCCCAATGATTTTTATACGCAGTGGAACTGCTATTGTCACAGGTTCAATTACCATAAATGTTACATTAATTTTTTATATCTTCATTTTTTTTAAAGACTTACTGTAAATTCTTATAAAACAGATGTAAATAATTTACATAGATTTATCAATGTTATTATAACAGTACGGTAGTGATTATGACATCAACTTAAATCTGCTAAGATAATTCACAATAATTATACAAATATTTTTTTTAGGGCCTAATAGTAGGGGTTGAGGGCCGGGATTTAAAAGACTCTCCCAGCACCAGGACGCAAACTCGTGACTCTTTTTATCCGCGTTATCTATGTATCAAGTTGCCGGGCAACAGTGCCTTAATAGTTTAAGATTACACAAGTTAAAATATTTATGTTTTGAGAATTCAAAGATATTGCAATATTCTTTTAAAATATAAATCCGAAGTATACGTTCCGATAATTAAAACTATTTAAAATCTTAAACAAAATAAGAAATTTATAAATGATGCTACCTATTTTTGTTGTTTATATATGATTTATTTTTACACTAACAAGTTTACAATTGCTTTGGGTTTGTACCCTTGTAAAATATAATTTTATATATACACAATATCTTACAAATAAAATATATTACATTTATTGGTAAAAAATAAAACCTATAGGAAAAAACAAAACAATACCATTTACAATAAAATAAAACATAGACTATTTTAGAGCAGAATATGTTTATATTCTACATATGTTAGAATAATTTTCATTCTCTTATGTTTTTGTATAATTCCCTCTTTCAGCTATTATTGATAGATTTAACGAGTGTTCTTGAGATTAAAAGACGGCTAGGATTTTTATGTAAATACAATCTTGTATGTAGGACAGATCTAATCCTCAGTGCATCCTAATTATTTTGTATAATATGGATAATTATTGTTAATTCTTAGGTATGTGTTTTGAAAAATATAATAGTTTTTTCATGTTAGTTCTATTAGTGAAGCTCCATATGGGGTAGGAGTATATTCAGATAGGCCTTATTACAGATTTTTACAGAATTCATTTGTTTTTGGGTGAAAGTTTTGATTAATGCTACCTAGAATAGTTAAAGAAGTTCAACGCACACAAGACTATAAAAAGATTTATTATGAATAACAACCATAGATATGGTAACTAACTATACACCTAATCTAGCATAATAATTGGTAAATGAAATACAATAGGCTGAGAGACTGATTGCTCCTTAAGATCCAAACAGGAGTAGCAAAGAAGTGACTTATAGTTTTCAGAAGAAGTTCTCAGTGGTACCTATAGCTTCTCTGTTTCTTTACTTTCAAACTCTGGTTAAAACAAACATTTAAATTTGACATTTCAAATATTCTTTCATACAATTTACTTTAAATTATTCTATGATCATCAACAAGGGTGGGTGTGACAATATTTATATTATTTGTGAGTACATGAGAATCTTGGATCTTTATTTCATTTTCTATAATAAACAAGGATACCTATGATTACAAGTGTTACAATGATGCATAATATAAAATAACAATGAGAAGTGTTGGAGTTGTCTACAAATGATAACATTTCTAATGCTGGCATAGTGTAATTATCTATTTCTGATATAGCAGTATTTAATATTACAGTAAACCATAAAATGGTTTTGAAATAGGGTTAAAGTTATGAGTATAAATTTGATCAAATTGTGGAAAACAATCCTCTATGCTAGTACTAATTAAGCCTACATTTGGTAGAAATACAGTATTATTATTATAATCAGTTATTTTTCTAATATTCACAGTAATATATAGTTTTATATATATCTTATATTATTTTTATTACTTAATACTAGTTTAAATTCTTTTAAATTTCCATTATGTACAATAGATGAAATACATTTTTGTAAATTTCTATTATTTACAATAGATAAAGTACATTTTGATTGTTTTATTGAAATTTATAGTATACAATAGTTATCAATAAAAATAGAAATTCATTGATAGAGAGAGGCACCTTTTTGTAAGTAAAGATCATTTTTTTAATCAATTTCATAAATAGTTTGGTTGATAACTTTTGCAACTGAAAAAAATAAAGTATCCTTTATAAGAGTCATCATGAATTGTCAGTTTTATAAAGTTACAAATTATATTATGATGCGCTAAACAAATTTTTCATGGAGAATATTCCAGTTAAACATTTATGATTGATTTGAAGAAAAACTTAGTCCCATGCAGATATGGTTTAAAGTGTATTGCCCATATAACTTATTTATTTATTTGAATCCTACCCTGTCGGTACTGCAATACAGGTGTTATGCAGCAGTGGGTAGCAACACATGTGATATAACTCACTGCTGCATTCAGACCAATAACTTTTTTTTTTTTCTCCAACTATGCACACAGCTTCTTTTTTTTTTTATCCCCCTACATAGCCATTTCTGGCATACAGGGTCCGGTGACAGTAGGGTAGTGCGCATGGTTTTTGCGCATGCCACTGGCCCGAGTACCGAGCCCTGCGGGCACCCTCTCTCAATCCCCCTCTCCACCTCGAAGGAGCTACCCCGGATCTTCACTCGCCTATCTTTGAGGTAACTACCCAGGAGGGAATATAGATTGCTGGGGGCATCGTACTCCTGCAGCCTCTGCATGACAACGGGCCACCAGACGCTATTGAAGGCGGAAGATATGTCGAAGAGTATCAACAACACATACTTCTCCTCCGCGTCATGGACGTCCCGCTTCATTTGCATTAGCGCATCCGCCATGTCCTTCCCTTTCGTCGAACCAAACTGTAGTGGATGACCTGCCATGCGCAGCACCGGTTTCATCTTGTTCATTGTCATGTGCTCCAGGACTTTGCTGATCACTGGGAGGAGGCATATGGGCCAGTAGACCTTAGGCTGTTCTTTATCTTTACCTCCCCCCTTATACAGCAATGTGAGGTCCGCTTCCTTCCATTGATACACGGAAAGTGCCCTCTGTCCAGGCACAGGTTCCATATGGCCAGGAGCTCGTCCTCTATTTGAGGCGCACTGTTCCTCAAGACCGCTGCATCAATCTCGTCGAGTCCCGGAGCCCTTCCTATCTTTCCAATCGGAGCACCTCTCTTCCCTCCTCGTTCCAGCCTTGGCACCTTCGTCTAGCCCAGTGGTATTCGAGCTTCAGCGTCGTTAAGGTCGGTGTCCACCATGGCACTGGTCTTTCCCTCACCTTCCTCCTCCGAAGGGAAGCCTCTGCCGCCTCTCTCGTTGCACCTGTCAGCACTTGTATCCCATGCTCGATACCGCGCGCATCTTCTGGCGGTTCCTTTCACTCCCTGTCCACCAGGATGTCTTCCAGCACTCCTCGGTACCGCGCCCAGTCCAGCAATCTTGTGACGTATCCACGTTCCCCTTCCGCTCGTCTCTCGTCTCTTCTTCTCACTACATCGAGCATGATAGTCCCATGGTCCGAGTTCGTATAAGACCTGAGGCTCCAGTTTGTCACTCGTCTCATCATTGGAGCTGAGGCCAGCATTATGTCGATCCAGCTCTGTCCCCTGGGTCTCACAAACGTTGCCTCACCAGGTTTGTTAACAATTATCAGCTGGCATCTGGCTATGCTGTCCTCAAGCTTCACTCCTCTTCTATCGGTGAGCTCCAGGCCGTGCTAGTGGCTAGACTGATTCTCAGTTCCTTTGCCTTTCTGGCCCTCTACTGGAGTGGAAGTCTTTTGCCTTTTCTTCTTCCTCGCCTTTCTCTTACTTTTCACCACGGTGAAATCGCCGTCCTCCTCCTCTTCAGATTCGGGGCGCATATTCCTCCCGCGGCACATCTCTACTCCTGTGCTTCTGACTGGCATATGTGCGGGAATTCCTCTCCCTTGATGTTCCTGGAGTCGGTTTTTCCCCTTCTTCCCCCCGCTGGCTTTAGGTCTGGAGGAGTCTTCACAGTCTCTCCACCTGACCTTTTTTGTGGGTCTGGCCAGGCACTTCGCCTCTGCCACT